CCCATCCTATTCTCATCCGCCCACCCTTGTAACCTGTCTAGGTCTGATTGTAGCCTGTTGCTTCCTTCTAGTGTGCCCACATCCCCCCACATCTTAGTGTCATCAGCAAATTTGAACAGGGTGCTTTTTACCCCCTCGTCCAAATCACTGATGAAGATGTTGAACAGTGTGGGCCTGAGGACCGAGCTCTGCGGAACCCCACTGCCCACGTCCTTCCAGGTTGAGAAGGACCCATCCACCACCACTCTCTGGGTGCGGCCCTCCAGCCAGCTGGCAACCCATTTGACTGTGTGGGTGTCGACACCACAGCCCCCCAGTTTCTTAATGATCTCATGGGAATATATTTATTAGTACACATAGGTTCAATTACTTTGAGTGGGTAGGCAAACAAAGTATGAAAAATAATGTATTTTCTTTCTTTCCACACATATATGTAATTAGTGCCAGGCAGAAAATAAATATTTCTCCCCATGTTTTCCCCATTTTTATCAAACATTTGGATAGAATTCTCACCAGTTCTAACATATATATTTGTCACAGTAATTATTGACAGAAGAATCTTGTAAAATTTTAAATCTAAAAAATCAAAATCCTAATTTCAGTGTGTGTGTGTGTGTGTGTGTGTGTGTGTGTGTGTGTATCCTAATCCTAATCCATGTGTTTGTATATATTGTGTGATACAACCATATTTTAACCTTCTCTTCTATGATAGAGGATCCTTTAGGGAATATAGCATCTCTTTTTTTAATGTTTAGTGTTTATGGCCTCCTGTTTAGTGGAATTCTAATGTTATAAAAGCCTTAGTCTGTCTGTCTGTCTGTCCGTCTGTCCGTAACACTTTATTCACACTCTGATTGGTTGTCTTGGCAGCCAATCACAATGCTTACTGAAACAACCAATCGGCGTGCTCTGCACAGGCAGAAGTGCCACCATGACAGCGGGGACTGAGAGGCTGGAGTGGCCTCACCCCCTCCCCTGGTCCCTCAGTCCCTGCTGTCATGGTGGCACCATCCCTGCTGTCCCCCTTTGCCTCCAAGGGGCAGGGCCACAGTGTGGGGGGCAAGCCTCCCCCCAGTCCAGCCCCTCAGTCCCCACTGTCATAGCAGCACCATCACCAACCTCCCCCAGCAGGGCCAGAGTGTGGGGGGGGAGGCAGGACAGCGGCATTGGCCTTCCCTCCCTCCCCAACCCTGCTCCTTGGAGGCAGAGGGGGAAGAAGAGGGGGGGAAATGGGCCTGGACCCAACACGGTGGGGAGGAGAGGGGAGCAGAGAGGAATGGGGCCAGATGAGAAGCAGGGGCATGGCTGGATGCGGGGTCCGTTCCCCCCATCATGAAGGTGGGGACTGAGGGGCCAGAGCGGGAGGGTGAGGGGGGGTTCCTGGAGCCAGATGTGGGGGATGGGGGTGGGGAGGGGGC